TGGACAGCTGGCTGGGCCTCGAGTGTGACTTCGCAGGGCCTGTTTGCACCTTCCACTGTGTGGGGAGAGCCCCTGCTCCCCCACATCCTGATGAAGGTCCTGCTCCTGGTGCATCCTTGCTCCTGGACGCATACTAAACGCTGGAAGCTCTCGTTGCTTGCCAGACAGGCCACCTCTCCAGGCTGAGGCCCATGACCCTGACCATTAGCGCCCCCCACCACGGCACCCCCATCCACACCCCTGCCCCGGGGCTTCAGCCACACAAAGGTTGAGGCTGGCCCGGGAGGCGGATGTGTGCCGGGCTGCCTGGCTAGGGACTTCCCCTGGTCACTGCTGCCTACCCCTGTCCCGACAGGAAACATGACAGGTCTGAGCCCTCCAGACACCCATTGTGTGGGGCCTGGTGTGGGCTCCAGTGTTTCCCCTGTCAGGGCTCCTAACCCTCTTCACCTCCTCCTGTTCCTTGTCAAAGCTGGCTTTTATGGAAAGTTCCAGGCTGTTGCCCCTCCTCCCTCTCTGTATTGAAGTCCTCCTCAGCCTTAAGAACTTTGCTTTTTCCAGCTTGCCTGGGTTCAAATCCTGACTCCTAGTGCCAGCTGTGTAACCTTAGGGAACTTACCCTCTCTGGGCCACCAATATTTTCTGTAAGCTGAAGGTGGTAACCACCCGCCTCTTAAGATTGTTGTGAGATTTTTTTTTAAAGATTTTTATTTATTTATTGAGAGAGAGAGAGAATGGTAGAGAGAGAGGATGAGAGGGAAGAAGGTCAGAGGGAGAGGCAGACTCCCTGCTGAGCAGGGAGCCCGATGCGGGACTCGATCCCGGGACTCCAGGATCATGACCTGAGCCGAAGGCAGTCGCTTAACCAACTGAGCCACCCAGGCACCCAATTGTTGTGAGATTTAATGGGATCCTGTACATTGAATGTCCCAGATAGGGTCTGGCACACAGTAAATGCGGAATACAGTTTATCAGTATTAAATCCAAGCTTCATCTTCAGGCGGACCTCTCCAAGCCAAACTTCTAGCCCTCCTCTGTGGAAAGTCTTGGACTTCTGGGGTCCCCTCCCGATGTAAGCCCCTCTCCTCCCTGGATGGAATCTGATGTTAGGTGACAGGTTCTTCTTGCTCTTTCCTCCTGGGCCAAATGGCCCCTCAGTAAAGGCCATGCCCTTCTGCCTCGTGCTCACCTCTGTCCTAACACTGCAGGGAACAGTGTCCTTTGTGGGCAATTGAAGGCTTTTCAGGGGTAATTCTGACAATATGCATTTTTGTTCCTCTCTCACTGACCTTAAACCTAATACCCCGGAAGGATGGGAGAATGCGTTCGGCTGGCCCCATCACTCTGCAGCTGGTGCCCCTCCTGACCTAACAACCCCCCCACCCCCACCCCAGCCAGTGGTTTACCTGGACTTACAGCCCAGCTCTACGCCACCCACCCCTTCTTCCCAGCAGGGTGTTATTCCTCTCCTGACACCCAGATGCAGATTCTTTGGGTCCATCTCTCCTTGGTCTTCTCCTGTGTCCTCATTAAACAACCCAACTAGTGGGGTGTGGTGGGGGTGGGGAGGGTCTCTCATTGGGCTCAGACTGCTTTAATGAGGTGACGTTTGAGCTGAGTCCTGAGGGGTAAGGAGGAGTTCACCAGATGCAGAAGGAAGAGCTTCATGGCAGCCATCTGACCAGCAGGGCAAAGGCAGGGTGGGAATGAGTGGGGCAACTTTGGGGAGCAGATAGATAATTGTCTGGAGTGGGCAGGGGTGCAAGGGGAGGTGGCTGCTTTGTGACAAAGCTTGGTCCTTTTCAGTACTCTGTGAGCTCACTTTTGGAGGCTTTAAGTGCAGGTGGGGGTTCAGATCTGATTTAGCTGGCCCCTGTCCCCGTGTCTGCACTTACTAAACATGTAGATTCCCAGGCCCCATCTGGAACCATGGACTCAAGTGTCTTGGGGGAACCCAGAAATATCCGAGTTTAATGTACTAGGGTGATTTGGAGGCTCAGGGGTATGGAGGCGGCAGGCTTGACCCCGACCCAAAGCAGCAGGTTGAGAGGTGGGAGCTGGGCCTATTCAGGAGCCCCTCTGGAGTCCAGAGAGCAGTGGAGAACAGACCACCAACAGACGGCCAGCCCTGTGGGGCCCCAGCTCACAGATCAGCAGGACCTGGTAAGCCCATGCTGGCCAGGGCAATCACAGAGGGCTTCCCCTTGGAGGGGGAATATTGCAGGAAATGATGGTGGGGAGGGTGTTTTCAAATGCCCCTCCTCTAGTCTAGGTGGCCTCCAGAAAGGGGACTGCTCCTGTTTAAAGGGAAGAGGCCGCGGGGGCAGTGAAAGGGGGTGGGTGGCTTGCTCCACAGCGGGATTGATTCCAGATGCTCTGCTGGGGTGTGCAGGGAGCAGCCTTTGTCTGCCTGCCTGCCGCCCTGGGGGTCCTGGGGCAGGAGGAGGGGCAGGGAGCCCAGGCCCCTTGTCTCCTAGTTCCTGCCCTGCCCCCTGCCTACACAGTACTCAACTGGTTCCTACTCCCGACCCTCCCGAGGCCTGTGGAGATGTTCAGCTTGCGTGGTTGGCAACGTCCACCCCATCCAAAGGCCAGGAATGCAGAAGCTTCTTCCTCTTCAATAGCAGACCCTCTTCCCTCCACAAGGTAGATAAGTTGGGGGCCCATAGCTTCTCCTTGTAGGCGGGCAAACTGAGGCACAGAGAACTTGAGAAGCCCAAGCATAAGCAGAGAGACTCTGCCTGACCTTTAGAGCCCAACTGTGCTTACTGATGAGATCCGGAGCTCCTGGCTACTTTCCCCCTCCCTCTACACACAGACAACTAAATCTGCTAGTTGGGGATGCCCCGTCAAGACCACTTGTCTCAGCCACTGATAGTCTGTTGGCAGGGAACCTCTCATTCCCTCAAGGGGAGGCCAGACCCTGGTTGATCAGGGCATTCCTGCTTTGGGAAGGAAACTGGGCCTGATGAACTCCAGGCTCTGGGTACAGGACTGATGCCCCCACCCTGAGCTGGACATCCTGGGAGACTTCCACCCACCGAAACTGGTGGGCCTGGCTGCAGAGGTCGTTCTTTCTGGAAGTGCCAAGGTGTGGGTAGGTGGCTGCAGGAGCCCCACCTGAGTGGGGAGGCCAGAGGAGGATGCATACAGCTTTTCTCTGGGCCCTCTGCTCTGGCAAGGGAGGCTCCTGCGCAGTGTTTGCTATTGAGAATGAGCTAGAGCAATGCTTAACCCAAAGGAGGTTAACGGTGTCCTTGCAGGCACCGTGGTTTACCATCTGCACCAGGGACTGGCCGGCACTCTGGAGAGAGGGGCCAGCGGGGGTCTTTGGACAACCTCGATTGGCTTTGGAGGAGCATACCCCTCCTGCCCCTCCCCCCTGGTCCTGGGAAGACGCCTGGCTTCCAGCTGCGATCCAGGCTCCTCCAGACCTGGGGGCCCTCCCCCCTGGCTGAGGGAGCCAGGGAGGGGGCGCTCTTTGTGCCGTGCAAAACGCGGCCTGGATTTCTGCCGAGACTGCCCCACCCCCTCCAGGGCCCCACCTTTCTGTTCCGGAGAACTTCCAGACTATCTCCAGCACCCACAGATGACTCTCCCTCAAGCACACCCCTAAAACTTCGTGTTGGGAGCCCCAGGCTAAGACCACTTGCCTCTGCCATTTTCTGTGTGACTGAGGCCTGTCAGCCCTCCCTGTCAGGGCCTCAGTTTACCCTTCTATACTTGAGAGAATGAAGCTCAGGCAGGTGGTTGTCTGCATAATTTACAAGATAAATGCTGCTCCAGGGGCAAGTAGGAGGAGAGAGAGAGACAGAGAGAGAGAGAGAGAGACAACCAAGGGCCAGGACGGTCAGGGAAGGCTATAGAATTTGGGCCCTCGAAGGATGGCCTTTGGCAGGGCAGAACCTTCTGGGAGAAGCACAAGGAAGAGTAAGAAGGAAGGGAATAGTAGCTGAGGCTGGAGAATGGTTGGGACCAGATGGTTGGAACCCCAAATACCAGGGAAGGTTGTCTGGACTTGGGGAGCCATGAAGAGTTCTTGAGCTGGGGAGTGACTCGGAGAAGTCTTTCAGCAGGAGGCAATAGACAGAGTGGGCACCTCCCGCCTCCATCTCCTCGAGGGTTGGGATTCTTCTTCAGGCTGGCCAGAGCTGCTGTGAACACCCAGGGGGAGGAAGACCCCACCGCATCTGTGATGGTCTGTTTGGGGCGTGGGGGCAAAATGTCCCGATTTGGCAAAGCCTTCGAGATACACAGGTGCTCCTTACCTCTCTCTCCTGTTTGTGCGCTTGAGATATACACTGCAGTCGTAATTATATACAAATAATATGTGTATCAAACGGAACAATTTTTAAAAATGTAGAGAACAGGCAAGTTTTCTGCGTGAAAGGGAAGTCTTTTCAGCCCCGTTGGGGGGCTAGGCCGGGAGCTCACCCGGCGTGTGTTTGCGGATCCATACTCAGTCCAGTGAGCTTGGGGCAGAAGCGCGCCCCGCGGTGTTAGTCTCATTCGGATCCTAAAAAGGTGACCGGCCGCCTGGCGCGCGCCCTGTCTGGTGCCCGCGTTCGCGCGCACGCGGGCGGGTGTGCACCGTCTACACCCGCGGGCAGGCTGGAGCGTCCCGTGCGTCCCGAGGTCGGGCCACGGCTCTGAGGCGCGAAGGGTGCGGACGGGGACCCTCCTGGGGACCTGCCTGGGGTCCCGGGGCACTCCGGGCCGCCTCGCCCCGCCGACTCCAGGCCGGGATTTCTCCTGCACTGACTTTCCGGGCCGGTGCCAGCCCGGCCTCCCGGTCCCAGGCCCCCGCGGCGGGGCCGGCTGCTCGGGGAGGGCGGGGGCGGGAGGAGGACTTTGAGCGACTTTGTGGGACAGCCGTGGCCTCGGCGGCGCCCGCACCAGCGCGCGGGAGAAGGCAGGGACGCCCGCCGGGCGCGCCGGAGCGGGCGATGGGGCCCGTGTGAGCGCGCCCAGGCCCAGCCCGGTGCCCGGCGGGCGGCAGCATGTCCGCGGGCGGCAGCGCCAGGAAGAGCACCGGGAGGCCCTCCTACTACTACCGGCTGCTGCGGCGGCCCCGGCTGCAGCGACAGAGGAGCCGCTCCCGCAGCCGGACCCGGCCCGCCAGGGGTAGGCGCCACCCCGACCCCTGACCCTTGGGCTCCCCCTACTGCCACCTGGCCGCCTGATGCCAGGAAATGCCAGGGACCCTGGATCTTCCAGTCTGTTTAGCCGGGTCTCCCCCCCCCCCGCCCCCATCGCCCTTTCTGGCTGCCCGTTACTGTGTCGGCTTGATCCCCATCCCCGCAGCTTCTCCCTCATCCGCCAGCGTCCTGGGGAATCCGAAGCTCTAGTCTCCCCTTGTGCCTTGCGCAGGGAAAGTGGAGATTGCAATTCGGGGTTCTCTTTCTTTGCTTCTCAGATGCCACCTCCTATTCCCCTGTGCCTCAGTTTACTCAGCAGCCTGGCAATGAAGTAATCCTGAGTGGATCCTGGCTTTTCCTCATTTTGCCTTCAGGGCCCTGGCCTCCCAGCTTAGGGTGGGGGGCCCATCTCAGCGCCCCCACATACCTTCTCTCCCCAGGGACTTAACAGGCTTCCCCACCTCTTGGGTGGGGGGACAGGTGGCTGGACTTCAGAGGGTCCTGCCCCAGGAGTCCTTGGCTCCAAAGCCAAGATCTGCCTGGGACCCCTCCAAGTGGATGATGGGCCCACCTCCTTTGAAAAATTTCTCTCTTTCCAGCGCGGAGGCAGGACAGGGAGGAGGGGCAATGGGAGCAGCATTTTCTTTTTTCCAGTAACAGCATCCTCAGTTGGAAGCGCATGGGACCCAGGAGGCTGCCTTTTGGGCCCGGTGGGGGCCAGGCCTTCTTTCAGAGGTTGGGTGGGATGGAGTTTAGGGAGGGGGCTCCTGGAAGGGGAAAGCCAGAAGGGGTCCTGGGGAGGCCAGGGTCCCCGTCAAGGGGCTCAGGACCGCTGAAGTGCCGGTGGCTGGTGGGTGGTGGGTGAGAGGGAGGAGGGTGGTTGGTAGTGCCTAGCGGGACCGGGACCGAGTTGGTTCTCTTGGGAAATGGGAAGGCTGGTCAGCGGTTTGAGCAGATCCGTGCTTGGGATCCGGCAGACCTGAGGTCAGATCCCCACCCTCCCGGGTGCTGGTTGTGTGGCTCGGGCCCTGTGGTGTTGCTGCTGAACCTCAGTTTTATCGTCGGCTTGAGGGTAAATCAGACAGTATGCGTTCATTTGCTTTTTCTCCAGAATGGGGAAGATTTTTCCCACAGTCAGGGCTGAAAAACAATGCACAAGGCTTCCTCAGGAAGTAGTGAGTTCCTGAAGTAGTGAGTTCCCCATGCCTGGATGGGTTCAAGCTGAGACTGGAAGTGTGTACAGGTGTGTGCTGCAAGTTCAGTCCTCAAGCATCTCTCGAGGCCTGGGGTCCACCTCCCCTTGTCTTCCTTGAAGCAGCCTCTGGCTACCTACCGCCCCCCCCCCAATTCCATGCTTAGCCTGAGAGACTAGAGATCTGGGTTTGAGCACTGAGACTTCAGGCAAGCCACTTCTCTTTTCTGAACCTCAGTTTCTTGAGCTGTAAAGGGGGGCTAGCAGGACTTGTAGGACTCAGTGAGGAAATGGGTTAATGCTTTGAGAAATGGGAGTTGTACAAATGCCCAGTAATGCTCAGGGCACCCTGAGGCCTCCACCCCTCCCCTCTCCTTGCAGATGCCCTGCATGACCTCCTCTGCACCTCCGTGCCCTTCTGTTCCTGACTGCAGAGGCTCAGAGAGAAACGGAAGTCCCCCTCCTGCTCAGCTGACTGGGCAGGAGACAATGTGTCCCGCGGTCACCTGAGCCAGAGCTTCCAGGCCCCTTCTGTGCAAGAGCCCCTGCTTTGTGTCACAGCCTTGAAGGAGCTCAAAGCCTGCAGGGAGTGGGGAGGAGACGGTCAATGAACAGAAGTTACATCTGGGGAAATCAGGGAGAGCTTCGCAGAGGAAGTGACATTTGGACAGCAGAGGGGGTGGTTGAGTCAGATGTGTGTTCAAGCCCCAGCTCTGCACAAAACTGTCCTTTGGCCAGTTACCTCACTTTGGCCTAGTCTGGTAAATGGGTGTAGTGACAGGTGTAGTGATGGCAGGGTCCTTTACGGATGAGAGTAAGTGCACAGAAGGCTAGAAGCCTGTGCTGTCTGGCACTTGGACCAGAGTTGAGCAGGAGCTATTGGTGTTCTTACTCTGGGCAGAGGAACAGTCTGTGGAAAAACAGGGAGAAGGAAAATGTCTTGGGCCTTGTAGAGAGAGTTCATCCTGGGGTGGGGGAGGGGAAGGGCTTGGGAGGGGGGTAGTGGGGAGCAGTAGTTTGGGCTGGAGAAAGGGCCTGGAGTGATGGGGAGTCATGGGTGGGGATGAGAGCTGCCTGGCAGGGTGAAAGGTGGAGGCTGGGGGCCCCTTGCCCACCTAGAGCAGCCACTGATCTCCCCCTCCACTAAACCCCCAGATCCTGTCCTCTGCCCCCAGGGCCACCCCTCTTCCTGAGGCCAGCGCCCCAACCTAGGTGGCAACTCAGGTGGGGGGAACCACCCTGTGGCCTCGGGTGGGTCCCTGCTGACCTCAGGCGGCACAGTCTCCCCGTCTGCGTGGGGGCTTGGTCCCATAGTGCTGACATCAGACCCCAGAAGAGGGGGTGGTATCCAGCACCCCAGCCCCGATCACCCACGCCCCTTGCTCCACACCCATTCTGGCTTCTGCCACTAGCGAGGAAGGACAGTGACTGAGAACTCCTGGGGGTTGTATTTGTCCAGAAACAGAAAAGTGCAGGGAAGAGTGGGCTGGCGGCAGGTGCACAGCCGGCCGGGCCTTGGAGAGGGTTGTGGCCAGGCTGCCACCTGTGAGGAAGCCCCCTGTCCATTGCCCCCACTGCCGCATGGAGTGGTGGCGGGGGGCTCCCTGTGGACATGAGAGCAGGACTGGGTCCTTGCCCAGGGCTGCAAGTGATGGACCGTGTCCACAGCCCCGCCCCCGCCGCCCCGCGCTTCGAGCAAAGCGGGGCACTAAGCAGGGCTCTTCCTTCTCGGGGCCCCCGCCGCCCCGTGCTTCGAGCAAAGCGGGGCACTAAGCAGGGCTCTTCCTTCTCGGGGCCCCCGCCGCCCCGCGCTTCGAGCAAAGCGGGGCACTAAGCAGGGCTCTTCCTTCTCGGGGCCCCCGCCGCCCCGCGCTTCGAGCAAAGCGGGGCACTAAGCAGGGCTCTTCCTTCTCGGGGCCCCGATCTCCCCATCTGAGGAATAGACAGAGTGAGACCTACCACTGACAAGGACCAGAAGCAGGGTGGAGACAGTGACCTTTAGATGTCAAGGGTCATCTGGCCGTTTCACATTGGGCTTTGTGACCCTAAGTCCACTTGAAGGCTAGGTATGGCGCATGGATATGAGGGGGACCTGTTCCCAGTAGAGTGTCACCAGCCAAGGTGCCTTCCCACCTCCCCCCACCCCAGGTCAAGAAAAGGTTTATCTGTCTGTCTGACTTATCTGGTCCCTCAGGGCTGCTGGGAGGAAATGCAAGATTTCCCCTCACTCCAGATAAGGTCTGGCCCATTTACCCGACTAGCAAACATGTCTTGAGGACCTACTATGTGCTGGGCTCCAGCCTGGGCACTGGGGGCACATGGAGATTAATGGCACATGCTCCCAGTCCTCCCTAAGCCCCCAGATGGTTGAGGAGGCTGACTTGTTGAGGTTCACGGGGGCACAGAGCCCTTTTGGGGGTACAGAGCCATAGTTAGTGGGAGACAGCTTCTACTCCCAGCTCAGCAATGAGCTGGTTGTGTGACTGGTTGTGTGACTCTGGGCCCCTCCCAGGGTCTCAGTTTCCCCCCTCTGTCAAGCAGGACTTATGCCCTGCTGCCTGACAGGTCAGGAGACCTGGAATGCCCATACGCATACTCATCGGAGGCTCTGATTCTTTTCTTTCTGTTTTCACCCGAGTTTTTTCAGGTGCTAACCCTAACCCACCTGCGCGCCGGGTACTTGGTGGATGTATTCTCCTGAGATGGTCGGTTCCTCCTCCACATCCATACATAGCCCCATTGTATGGCCCTATATTTTGGTGGCTGTGTGATCCCTCTCCCCTCTCCCCAGGCCCCTTTCCTTTTAGGGTGTGCTGGAGGCTGTCTGAGGAGCCCTCTGGAGGGGGTTTCCCAGGAACACCCCAGCACACTTAGAGGAATGCAGGCAAGAGTGGTGGTGGTACCCAGGAAGGCTGGGGCTGACCTCCTGAGGGGATGGTCCCCTCCCAGTGCTTAGAACATGGCAGCTGAGTGATCCAACCCCTGGGGTCCAGATGAGGACACTGAGGCGCAGAAGGACCTTCCTAGAACTAGGTGTGGAACCCAGGGCTGCTGGCCCCCAGGAAGATGGTGACATGGTTCGGGAGGGTGCTGGTTTGTCACAGCTGCTTCCCAATTGGGAGTGATGGCTAGGGAAGGGCAGGGGCTGGGACCACTCCATACGGACCCTGGTTTCACTGAGACTTGCTGAGATGCCCTGTGGGCTGGCAAGCCCCTGAGGGTGGGGGCTGGTTGTGTCTTTTGTCCCCCTCACCCCCATCTCCAAGTGTACCCCCAAGGGCGCAAGGCCCAACTCTCTGCCCCCAACTTGGATGCAACCTCTGAAATTGTACATTCATCCTTTCCTGCCTCATCTCTTCATTTGTTCCTGCTGAGACACAATCCCTCCTTTGGGGCTTCACCCCAGCTTCTGCAGGCCCTCCTGGTCCTTACATACCCCAGGAGCTGGGAGGCTCACTCCCTTTCCTGGCATGTAATAAAGTTAAAATGGCTTTTGTTTGTTGAGTGCTTTCTCGGTGCCCAACAGTGAGCTTAATTTTGTACTTGCCTTATCTCATTTAATGCTCATAACAACCTTGGGGAATGGATCCTGGTGTTGTCCTCATTTTATGGGGGAGGAAGCTGCAGCCCAAAGAGTGGGAGCCTTGTCGCACACAGCTCAGAAATGCTGGAGCCCAGTTCTGCAAGACTCCAGATCCTGAGCTGATAAATGCACCACCTTGCTATTCTGTGAGCAGGCAGGTCTTTCTGAGGTCAGGCCTTGGCTTTGATAAGGCCTCCTCCTTCTATCTGAT